CGGCTGGTCCAAATTGTCAAAGCTGCAAAAGCATTTTCTGAGCTTCGAATAAAGTGAAGTTAAAGGCGATTTGGAAAAATTAATTTAAAAAATGCTTCCAGACAAACACAAATATACATTCACACATACATAGTAAGTGCACAAATGCGCTGCTATAATCATAAAAGGGCGGATAAAGAGGAAAAGAAGAGTTAGGCCGCGAGCGCTGGTAGGAAAATGCGGCAGATAGGCAGTCAGGCTGTCTCTGGCAAAGGGAAAAGAAATTATTAAAGAGTATGTAAAACAGAGGCATAAAATGTCGGATGTAAAACTAAATTGTGGAAAGTTTAAAAGTTTTAGCGCTTTTTTGCATAGACGGTGTCCTGTGAAACCGGCAACAACTGTTGCTATATGGCAGCAGATTGAATTTAGTGTGGCGACAAACTGAAGATGGCAGACTTAGGCTTATAAGTTCACGTTTTTGTTTTTGTGAAAGTTGTTTTTGTTGTTTTTGGTTTTTATAATAGCAAGCATTGTTATTGCTTTTGAGGAAATATGCCATTTTAGTGGTTTTTATTTGCTACAATATACATATTTGTAATTATTTGTTGGTTCATATAGCAGCGCGACTTCAATTAAATATTTCAAGACAAAGCTTTTACTTAGTACATTTTAAGAGCACAATAGAAAATAATGAGCTAACATAATTAACAAATTTTAATAAAAATGTTATAATATTTTTAATTAAATAGATTGCTGTAGGCGCAACTCATAATTGAGAAATTTACAACTGAAGAGCTTAGAAATGTATGTTTTTTTTTGTTTTTGACTGTCATGTTATCAGTGCAGTAATATTACTGAAAAGCAGTTGACCATAAAGCTCAATGTTTTGTTGGCTGTTTGTGAATTTTTTCTACAAAGTAATTAGATGTCAATTTAAAGGAGCGTTTTTCTATTTTTGCATTTTCTGGTTTGTTAAACTTTATAGTTAAAAAGTAAATTTTCAACATTTTAAATTTGCTTTTACTTATATTTCAGCACACTGCTGAATTTCACCTACGCGGTGAAATAACAAAAAAAAACATATTGTACTTAATTTAAAAAATTCCTATTTAGGCCATTAGCCACTTGAGCTTGACACAATTATCTAAAGGTTAAAGAGCATACCATCTTGCTCGGAAAATTACATACATATCACTGGCCTCAGCAACTCTTTACTCTAAGCTAGCGATATAAATATGTACTGATTAAAATAACAAAATGTCCTATCTCTCAATTTGATCGCGTATTAAGATGGAATGAATATAATTTTGTTAAGGGAGATATTTTCTTCATAATTACGGGAGGATACATGGCGTATGAGTCACATTTTTTCAGACCACAAAAAGTTTAGTTGAATTTAACAAGGCATGCCGAATGGTCAAACAGCTTTAGTACCAAAAAATAAAAATAAGTTAATTTTAGATTACCTACGTACCTTGCGCTTAAAATGTAAATCAAATTGAACTACACATAAATACCAGTATTTGAAATGCTTATGTCGACACCGGCAGCAAGTACTGGATTAATCTATGCTGCCAGTTTCCAGTTGACTCTGTAAGTTCAATAGCAGAGTTACTTTAAGATCGGTCACCGTCCTGAAGAGAAGAAGTATTGCCTACATTTGTAAATACATTCCGGAAGTTAAAGTGTTTATAAAAATTTATAAGCAATTTCCATTGAATAACTTTATTCTCAGCTTAATTTAAACTCAGCTTTAATTTAAAATAATATAATATTAAGTTCTATAAATCTTATTTTAATTATTTCAATTATAAAAAATAAACAAAAAGAAAAATTATTAAAAAATTATATAGATATAACAAGTTCTAACAGTACTTATTTTCTCTTTGGGCACATAAATATGCAGCTGCTGTCAATGGGTTAGCACCAAAATTCAAAATGATATTGTTTGCAACTTATGCTTATTTATTTATTTTTAATAATTTGCGTTTGAAACATAAATCAATCTATAACAGAAACCACATAATAAACATTTCAAAGCTTTCACAAATTCTTAAAAATTAAACAAACTTCAAAAAATGTTCATCAAAATTTCAAATTTTTTAGAAAAATTTCGGGTATGCAATTTTTAAGAAATTTTTGTGGAAGGTGTTGCGCATTTTCATCCATATAACGCATGATAAAAGTGTATTTTTTTTTTTTTGAAGAAGACACGTTCCCAAAAAAAAAAATCAACGGCGATATTTAGCGACTTGAAGCTTGCTATTTATTACACTAAAATTTAATGCATATCCAAAAATTTTCTATGATTTCTTATAAAAAAGCTTACAATTTTGACAAACATTTTTTTGAAACTTGATTAATTTTTTGGAAATTTGTGCAAACTTTGAAACGTGTATTTATGTGGTTTCTACTTAAGATTAAATTAAGCATATTTTAAAAGAAATTTATGATAAATAAATAAGTATGTAAACATAAGTAAGTTGTAAACAATATAATTTGGAATTCCTGTGCTAATTCATTGACCGCAGCTGTAGGCACGTTTATGCGTGGGCTTACGTTTTTGCCTTAATTACTATTAATTACGCGTAGCAAAGCAAAATTCACACTCACTTTTCCGTTGCAATTTTGCTTTTTAATTCGCTTTTAATTCAATTACCTACTGCAATAAGAGATGCTTATTTAAATTAGTTTTGTAAATGGCTAAATGAGTGTACGTGATTGCGTATTTGTTTACATATTTGTATGAATTGTGATTAATTATGCATTAAATTTACGGCGATGGTCAATATAGTTTTGTAACGCAAGCGAATGCAAAAAATTTCCAGCACTCAATTGCACGATTATCTACCGTTGTTGGCTCAGCGGACTTCAAACTCCCAAACAAACGCAGAAGCACCACTTTTGTATACATACATATATACGCATGAATTTCACTGAATCACCAGCGATTTCCCTCGATTAATAATAGCGGCACGTGGCACGTATGCATGTATGTACATATGTATGCACGGGTTCAACATTTAGTAGCTATGTAAGTGTGTAGCCTATACAGTGAACCCAGCTAGAATTTATGTAAAACTGAAGCGCAGCAGAGCCATAAAAATTAAAAAATCTCGCCCTCTCGAATTTCTTTCAAAAATTCTTCTGCAGACCCACGTGCCTCATTTTGTCTGTTGATTACAATTGTTTTTGTATCGGTAAAAACGTGGATTAGACCTGTTCTGCCTTCTCGGGATTTGAGATGCAAAGCAAGTTGGTCTGGGGTGGTGAACGAGGACAAAACGAAGTAACTCCTCTAACTAACTTAATTAAAATTCAGCCACTGCACTGGCCAGCTCTTAGAGTATTCAACCCGGAACCCGCTGGCTTGTTTTATATTTCAAAGAAAAACTAATTGGTTTGTTAAAATTTTACTGTTTTCAACTCTAAATGCGAGCTATAAGAACCAAATGCATACAGTGACTCAAGCAAGTGTTGATTTTTTTTTTTAATATTCATAATGTTTTTTCGAGCCAATTTTTTTTTTGTGATTTCTCAATAAAAATACCATCCAAGCTTTAACCAAACCCATATAAATAAATCACAGTTTCAAGCTTTTTAAAAAAATTTAAAAATTTCATCAAAATTTCAACTTTCTCAATCTTTAGAACGTTTTTCGGTAGGCATTTTTATAGCATATAAAATTTTAGTCTAATGAAGTGCAAGTTTCAACCGGCTAAAAAATTGCATAGATTTTTGAGAATTTTTTTGCAGGCTGCGTTTACGGTTTTTTGTAGATAACAAGTGCAATATACAAAAAAATTGGCTTTGACTTTTTGAAATTGAAATTTTTGATATTGAAAAAAAAAGTACAAAAAATGTCACAAAAAAGATTCTTAAAAAATGAGATTTTTTACCTGTTTGAAACTTGCACTTCATTAGACTAAAATTGTATATGCTATGAAACTGTATACCTAAAAATATTCTAAAGATTCAGATTAAAAAGTTGAAGTTTCAATGAAAATTTGTTGAATTTTCTTAAATTTTTTATAAAGATTGAAAATGTTATTTATATAGTTTTGGTTAAAGCTTTTAAAGAAAAATAACAAAAAAAATTAGCTCGAAAAACATCACGAATATTTAAAAAAAAAATCAACACGTGGTCACTTGTTTGAATCACTGTAATTATGTGAGCCCAACAAATCTGGCTTTTTGAATCAATCACCCTAACCCGAAGCCTTTCTCAGGATGAGAAAAATTCGAATCCTTTTCTATTCCGACTTTGACAGCCAATGTGAAACAGCCAGAAGTAGTAATTGTGTATGTGTCACTTGATGTTCTATGTATTATCACTGATTGCTGATCGCTGCAGCTTGCCGGTTTTAGCCAGCTTATTGTTGTTGCTTAACATCTGCAAAAAGGTTGTGGTGCGAAGGGCAATATAGTCCATTGATAGTCAATTACATAAACATATATACATATGCATGTGCATATACATATATTTTAACCCACATTCATATGTTTGCTGATAGCTGGTGCGCCCCTCATGTTCTCATAACCGACCATGCCACTTATGTATGCTTATCAAATGCCAAAATAATGAGCCGCTCACGAAGGCGCATAATGCACGCAAATGGCTGCGATTACAAGGAAAATGGGTGACGGACCCCAGACAGCAAACCAAAAATTCGGAGCATATTTGTGTTGTATCCACACATTAAGTTGCAGCGCTGCGTTACTGCTTTATCGAACGTTTAATCAAGCATTATTGTTGTTGCTCATAGTTATTTGCTACCCATACTGTAGTTATAACTACCGCAACACTAAATGCAAGTGTGTTATTTGAAATGTAATACGATTTGTGCGCGTTGAGTAATATAACAAATTTATTTTATGTGACTAGCGGTACCACTATTCTGATTTAATTTACTAAATCGCCATTTTACATTAAGTTGCATTTTTTCTGTAAATATGCATATTGCTTACCAAATATAAAGATCATTGTATGTATACGCCCTTATAATTGTACCATTACAGTGCTAAATTGGTGTATTCTAACAAAATGTCATCGCGGCTAGTATTTTATCTCTGTCTCCTGCTGGCCACCATGGCGACTTTAACGGACTTCACACAATCGCTGGAAATATTTGAGACACTCGATATACCTGAAACAAGTAAGATGAACATAGCGCCAGAGAATGTTCCAAAATCACGTACAAAACGTGGAATCTTTTGGGATTTTTTTCAAAAAATGGTCACCACGAAGAATCTCATTGTTGATGTAAGTATAAGTAATTTGGAAAATATTTTCATTCATTTGAGTTTGTTATATCGTTGGTTGATGATTTATGAGGTTGATGAAAGCTCCAAATTAAATCCAAAAGTATGACGTTTACTTTACCGTGCTAGAATCGCATAATTATTTAATCGCTGTCGTCAAGGTCTTTTAACAGTAAGCCCACTAATAGTGCTGTTTCGACGGGGTCGAAAAAAAGGGAGAGAGTTGGGCAAGTGATTGGTGTCGGAAAAAGAACCTTTATATACCGGATATGCATTTAGTACGTCTGGATCTAGTATGAATAAGTAGAAATTTTACCGACAGCTAGTCCGTAATTGTGCCAGATTAGCAAGGGTCGCTCTTGTTAGCTGAAACTCTTCGTCTCCGATCGGAGGGGACTAAAATCCGATAAAGATGTTCTAGATTTCGTCCTCTCTGACGTTCTGGAGTTGATAATTCGCTTTCAGCAATTAACTGTCCTGTCGAAACGGATAAGGAACGGCTTGGTAAATAGTAATGCCCAGATGCTCCCGTACGGAAGTTGAAGTTGACTGTGCTGTTATGGAAGCTTCGTCCAATGTAACCTTTTGTAGCCGGTGACTAAAAATTTCATAGCGAAGTGCGGTTGCCGAGATTGAAAATCGAAGGCCCTATTTTGTATGCTGTCAAAAACTTTTATTTCCTTTGTATCATCAGATAATGGAAACTCCCTATGGTGATTGGGGAAGTTTCGTAGTGTAAATATTAAACAGAAGCCGGACGAGCGCAGCACCCTGTGGGACCACTTGCTAAACTTTTTTCTTAATTTTGATATTTGATCTCAAGATGATTGCCGTGCACTCAGATAATGCACTGCCCCCCATTTGAGGCCTTGTGTGAGAGAGGAAACCTCGATAACTGCCTTCTAGAAGTGTGGAATGACAAGCGGCGTTTTCTCACAGATCTTATTCTGATCGTGTACCATGCTGGGCAATCACAGATGAGATGCTCTAGCGTTTCTTCCTTTATCCAGTGTTATGACATTTAGAGAGTACTGAGGACCCATTGCCAGCGCTCTTTTGCTTTGCTTTCCTTTTTTTACTTTTCCACAGCAAGGTGTAGGGAAAGTCATTTCAGGCTCTATCCTCACGGCTTTTGCCGCTCCGGATGTAGTGTATTTTTTTCTACTATTTTGAGGAGAATACTCTTCTCTGCGATTTTGAAGTACTACACTGAATCTTGACAAAATGATTACCATACCTTATCAATATAAACCACGCAACAAAAAATTACAAAAATAGAAACAAAACCTTTACTACGGTTGAATGTCTCAAGTCTGTAGTCCTTGTCTAATACATATCTAGCCCTCACTACATACTTTAATTAGACATGAATTAGACAAGAGTTAGAGTCATGAAACACTTCACAGTATTAGAAATATGTGTCATTTAACAATACTAAGGTTTTTTTTTTTAATTTGTGTCACCATGATCACATGACCACATAAGGCAGCATTATATCACTTGATATACTAAATAGGCTTCTAACATCTCATAAATACCTAGAAACCGTTTAATTTTTTCAACGTGGTATGTACTATTACTTAGTTTACATTTCTTTAATATCAGCAATACTTTGACACCAGAGACACGCTTAGCGGTGTATATAACTTGTTGAATGAAGGATTCAGTGATCCTGCACCACCAAAGGCCACCTTACGACCACTCACAAGTACAGCGGTATGTTGAATATAAAATAAAAAAATACTACCTAACTACAAATACATTATTTTGTAAAATGCCAATTTAATTTTTGGGCATTCATCTTTCAGAAAACCAGCGACGAAGATCAGTCTGGCAGCAGCGAGATGTCGACTACAACAGAGGCCTTCAGCATCTCACGCTATGAATTGGGACGCATTTTAGGACGAAATTTTCGTGGATTGCAACGCTTGACAAAAATTGAATTTCAAGATGCATTTAATGTAAAGAAAATCTATGATGGAAAATTTTATGCAAATTTATAAATCTTTTCGAAATTTATTATTCACAGCAATCGCACTACAACGTACAAGAATATAAGGAAGAAGCACGCAAGCAATTTGCGAATAGTGTGGGTGTGGAGAAGGTCAACAAACTCAAAGGCTTGAAAACGGCTTTAAATGGTTGAGTGAAAAACTGATTTGTTAAGGATAAAAATATAATCAAGTCTTAGAAGCTGCGACGATGTGATTTTACATATTTTTATATATGTATCTACTTAGCTCTTTTTGTGCTATGTGATTTTTCTATAACAGTTAAATATTTTTAAGAACATATGTACATACAGTCGCGGGCAAACAAATAAGAATGCGACGTTGTAAAATATATGGGCTATTTTTCTTTGGTTTATTTTATGTTTATTATTATTTTTTCTTAGAAGTATGGCTCGCTAACTTAGAAAAGACATGGAAGTCAAGAATTCAAACTTTGTACAAGACTTAGCAAAAATCAATGAAACCCAACAAATGTTCATCAAAATTTCCAAACCTTTATTCTGAAATAAAAAATAAAATCTGGGTATGAAATATTATAGCCCATTAGATTTTGAAATAATAAAGTGCGATCTAGGCCTCCTCGATTAAAAAAAAAAAACAAATTATATAATTTTTGAGGAAGAAAATGCGCCAAACCGTCGGCAACAAAATAAAAAACTTAGTGGTATATAAGTCCTAGCTACCTTATTATGCTAATTAATGAGCGTTAAAACTGCAACCCTAAATTTCTGAATAAAAAGTTTGAAATTTTTCTGGAAATTTTGTCGAATTTTCCTTATTTTTGTACAGATTTTGAAATTCGGATCTATATGGATTTTGTTTGTTAGATAGGTATACTTAAATATAGAAAGTAAAAATATTAAATAAACAAAACAAAAATAGCCAAAATTTGTTAAAATACGCCCCCCCCCCCTTTTTATTTTCCCGTCAGTGTATATTGATAATATATTTTTGTAAATATCGTGTAAAATACTGTAGTTAGGCTTTTAATAATTTTGGATGAATATTGCATAAGTAATAGATAATTATTTTCGCTGTGATAAAAGCGCTAATCGATGTAGAACTAAAAAACACGATGCAACTGAAATTAGGTGTTTAAAGGTTTTTTAAGAAATATGTAATGTGAACAATCGGTTTGCTAAATTGAACAATTAAATTTACAATTAAAAAAAAAAATAAACAAAAAATGTTCCAAATTTCAGGAATTTAATACCCACAACTTTTTAAATTTAAAGTCCAGAACTTTTAAGAAAAAGTTTTGTATATTTTTTTCTATATTAATTTTTACACTCGAAGAACCTCTCATTGAGTCTTTGTTTAAGGCTGACAGCCTACTACAGTGTAATGCAAGCAGAGCTCGCGACTATTAAAGAGGCTGCACTTCGGCTTAACGACTCTTCTCCTAATCTACCATCAGTAACCATTTACTCCTTGTGGAATAGGCAATCTCCCTGTCTGACGTCAACTCTTCTCACCATGCTAGAACCCTAGTGTAGGACAACCCAGCAAATTTAGCCAGCTTCGTCAGGAAAAAGTCGAGCTCACTCGTTCGTCTAGACTAGCCTCTACTTCGTCAAGTGAACAGAATTATTACCGGTGACTGCTTGATGGGAAGGCATCCTTGTAGAATGACTTCTGCCTCAGCTGCCGTGACGATGAAGAAATTTAAAGCGTGGAATACTATCTCCGTCACTGCACTAATCTGTAGGGTGCTCATCACCTCTTTGGCTCTCTCGCGGAACTTAGCGTAACGGATTCGCATGAGTTCTCGCGTTTTATTAACTCCAATAACTGGCTGTACTTCTAGGTGAGCGGACGTCATCAAATACCTGCTCTCAAACGGTACTACAATTGGCCTCAGGTGCCTCTCACCTCTACTGCATGCAGGCAGTCACTTCAACCTAACCTAACCTGCGCTATCACCTATTCACTTAACGCTTTCATTGAATATTTACAACGACATACATTGGTATTTTTTTAGTGCACCCGTTCACTCGCTTTATGCCTTTTATATATCCCTTATCAATTTCACAATTGCCTGTCAATAGTTAACGTCGCCCTGTTACGATATCATTTTCCACCCAGAGGGTTAAGTGTTGTCACCTCTTAAACAAAGTTAAAATAAACTTTTAAAACTAAGCTATAAAAATAAGCCAACTTTTCATACTTTTGCATTTGTACATAAGTAAACTAGCGTTTATGCTCAGTTGCAACACATTAATACCCAAAAGCGTAAGTATTTTCTTAACAAAACTTAAACAACATAGCATACGGAATTTGCACATTTGTACATACATACATTTAGTGGCAACACATCCAACAGATAATAACACATCAAATTAAAAAGTTTATGTCAGAATTTTATTGATAAACTTTCTGTCGCAACAGTGCAATGCGCACAGTAACTGTTTGTTGTTGGTATTGCTGCAGATTGTCGCATGCCTTATTGGAGACATCATCATCGTGGTGGGCAACAACTCTGGTGCGGCGGTTCGGTGTAGTTCGGTTTCCCTGTCTGGGACATGCCCGTAGTCAAACAGTCAGCCAAGAAAAATTAAAACTTTAAAAACATATACATATATAATACCAGACAACGAAGCTGCAACAACAAATATAGGGCGATCAGCGCTAAAGATAGCAACAACACACAAATCAAATCACCAGTATTGGTTGTAAAAGTTTTGCGATTTTTTTAAAAACCACTAAAAGTGTCATAATTCGATACCCACGAGACGGCTGCTTTGCTGGCTTTCTGACTGTGCGCTCTCACGAACTTCTTTTTTTTTCTCCACCGCAACTTCTTACTACATTTCAACTTATTCTCATTGCGGACAGTGGTCAATTGTGGCCAAAAAAATTAAGTTAATGAAATGACACCAAAAACTTTCACGAACCTTTGTCTTTTTTACAAAACGAAGGCGAAAAACGCTGTGTATCAACAACGAAGCTTGGCAAGCGGCACCGGAAGGCTTGTCGCCTAGCAAAAGTTGTGCAGCTTAAGGGAAAATATAAATTAAATTAAACTCTCCACATCGTCCTCTAAATATCTGAGAAAGAGAGGACCTTGTGTTATATCCAGAGAATACCCACCAGAATCTCAGGTTAAGCCTTTGTGATCCCAAGAAGATCTTCTTCTTTCGGTGAGACCGACTCGAGGTGTGTTTTCCGCCAACTGATACGCAGCGCCGTTTCCTGTAACACCTACGACTATAAATACCACCATAAATCTGACTTGCAAATAATCAGAAGCAACCGACAGAGGTCAGGCATTATGCTCTGTGAGGCACTATTAGCTAGCCTAAACCCTTATTCCCGCATGGCTATCAGAGTATATGTTTACATTCCTTGCCGACGTTGCGCAATTGGGCAGCCAATGTACTGCACGCGGTGAGCTTAAGTCCTATCGCAGTTTTTGCCGCAGCAACCTTGCCTACGATGCCACTACGTAAAGCACGGCGTTAAGTTCTGCAGTGGGAGTGGTCTTGAGTGTCTCACTGATTCCATTGGGGCTACTCGCCTTATCCGCTCCGGCTTGTTGACCAGTGTAGCCTTCTCTAGTGATGCTAACTAAGTATGTTTACATAGAGCAAACAGGCAGATCCTATCTTATTATCCCCCTCTGCAGCAGCCAAATTCCTACAGGTGGCTTTTTCAGTTTGCCTTCTACATAGAATCAAGCGCAAGAACTGGACTTTATTATAAAGTATTCAATAGAGGAAAGAGTAGCATGGGGTATCTTAAACTTCTTAGTAGACAACACCAGCTCAGTTTTACTGAGATATGGAGAAAGTGCACTGTTAACAGACCACGTATTTAGTGATAAAATTATATAGGGTACTCGGAAATTTTACGTTTACAAAATGTACAACGTAATCTGCATAGAAAATTACTTAGTAATTTCTATTCACCAGTTCCACCAGCAGATCCTATACAACCAAAAAATACGTCAGAGCACACAACCCGTTTTACACATAAACTTACGTGTACGCTTACTAAAATTCTGAGTGAAACGGGGATCGAAAATCCACTTATAGTGCTACCAGCAGTCCTTAAAGAAAACGCCTTAATTTTTTTCACCAGTATAATAATTTTGAAATTTGCACTAATTTGTATCAGGCTGAACACACTGTGCGGCCAACTTGAGTGTGCTTTTACTTCATTTCACACAAAACTTTTTACTGTACAATACAAAAGAAACCCATGAAATGGGAAAATGTTTGTCAAGCGTCGAACAAAAGCACAAATGGACCCAAACTTAAGCAAACGACAAACGGATCATTGCAATTGCATGTGCAATTGCTGCTCGAAAATGGCTGCAAAGTTGAATTGCAGCAACAGCTGTAGTTGCAACTGTGTGAATTGGCGGTTGACTCGAGACAACGACCAACTGCTTCCACAACAACAGCAACCAAAGAATTGCTACAGCAATGATAGCGTCGGAAAGAGCTATGAGTTGCACATATTCTTACATATATGTGCATATGTATGTAGCATATTTTTATATCGTATATGAACACGAATAGATGTATAACTGAAGGCATGCAGCTGTGCTTTTTATATACAGTAACTATTCTGCAAAAATCGCGACTACTCCTTGCTCGCATGCAAAGAGTGTTCCCTCAGAATCTAGGAGTGCTCCAAAATTAACCGAAATGCCTATAAAAATGTGGTCCCATTGGCATTGCGATGTCCTTGGGCAGGACATATACTGCAGCTCTGCGTTATATCAGAGTAGCACAAAACTACGATTACGATCGTTAAAACTCCATTAATGATCGGGTAAAAATACGCTACTGCATGGCAGAGGAAAATTTTGTAAGTACTCCAATATGGACCACATGGTGACACGATTTTTGCAGGGTAGGTCCAACAAAAAGTTCTACATTAACAATTGGCGAAATAAAATCAAGCGAATGGCAGCGAAACCAACGCGCGTGAACAACCAAATATTGCAACGGTGGTACGCTTTCGGTTCACCAAGCGAAGTTGTGCTATGCCACGTTGTGGTGTATTGACATTGTAAGCTGATTTTGTGGCAGCTATGTCAGTTGCGTTGGAAGTTCGAAAGTTCCCAAGTGACAAGCGGTAGCGTGACGTTGCAGTGCGCCATTCGCAAGCCGGCATAGTGGTACATAGTAAATGTGAATGTACGTTCGACAGATGGAAGGGATTGGAAATTTTCTTTCGAAAGCAGAGGAAATAAGTACTTGAAAGTGATGTAACTATACTTTCTCGTATTTCCCGAAAATTTTAATT